TTATGCTTTATTCGATTTTGTTATGCGATTCTTCAATATGCGTGAAAGAAAATGTCGTATAATTGTCAATTATCCGGCGGATATATGCGAAAGTTTTTCGCATACTAGAAAATTATGCGATTGTCTGGGATATTTAATTTCCAGAAAATACGAATTCAACAAATTGTGCGATTATTATGGGATATGATATGCGAATCGCACAATCAACCTAATTGTGCGATTATTGTGTTACATGTTATGCGAATCGCACAATCAACCTAATTGTGCGAATAGTCGTAAAAAATATGCTTTATTCGATTTGGTTATGCGATTATTCTTAAATATGCGAGCGAAAAAACGTCACATAATTGTCAATTATCCGGAGGATATATGCGAAATTGCTTCGCATATTCATAAATTATGCGATTGACCAGAAAATGCGTATTCAACAAACTATGCGAATTAGATGAGAAATATTTTCGCAGTCATAAATTTGCAAGGTTGATATATAGCCCTGCGAAAAGAAGGCGCATAATCATCGTAAATTATGTTGCATTCGATTTTTATATGCGATTATTAAAAATGCGAAAGATGTTCGCAGATTTGTAAATTATGCGTTTTGATGTGGATATACGATTAAATAAACGCGAAATGTTTACGCATAGGCAGAAATTATGCGGCCGATTGGATATGTGCTGGTTCATTTTGGACATGCGAGTGCAATATCGCATAGCATTTCGTGAATTTTGGGGTGTAAAAGAAGTTATATGATGGGGTGGTGTGAAAAAGAAAGAATAGATATATAATGGGGTGAAAAAGATTTTAACCCATTAATTAAACTATTTGCATGTAGTATTCACCCACACTATATTTATATGTAAATTATGCTTTCCTCATTATTATTTATTTAAAATATTATATGTATACATCTACTAACATACACATTTAACTATATGTATGTATTCAATTGATTAATACTAATTAAATTAATGTTAATAGTTTAATCAGTTGTCTTTTGAAAATTTTATATGTTAAGGATATCAAATAGACTTAACATATTACATAGTTTCGTGACTTTATTAGTGAGTGATTTAATGTGAGGTTGGGTTATTACATCCTACCCTCCTTATAAAAAAATTGTCCTCAAAATTTTTCTTATCTGAAAAGTTTTAGATATTTGGTTCTCATCTCATCTTCTCTTCCCCATGTTGCTTCTTCGACTGACTGGATTCTCCATAATACTTTCACGAAGGGAGTTTCTTTGCTGCGAAGTTGTTTCACATCTCCTTGGAGTATTTCTACTGGTACTGATAGAAAAGGAGCATGTCATGGCCCAAAATCATGGATTGTTTATAGTCGCAGGCCAAATCCAAGGAACCAATCAGATTTAAAATGAAGGGGCTGATTTTATGGATCTAAATAGCACTAATCATGGAAGAGAATCTTACCTAATATATAGTAGTATAGCTAATTATAAATAAAGCCTCCTTAGATGAGGAAGGCATCAGAAATCATAATTCCTATGTTAGTACCTTGGGACAGGGAGTTTATTCCTGTTGGTCTTTTCCCTAGTTTTCTTTCTTCCTGTTGATCATATTGCAAAGTATCCATTTTGTTAATAATAAAACTCTTCCCTTTGTTACTTGGTTCTTTTCTCTAACAAATTGGTCCGACCTGCCGTGCGAGGTATGACACGAATGGAGTCCCGTGTTGAATCGTTGGAGAAGAGCCAAGTTGCTGTAATCGAGGAACTCACCACCCTGCGGAACAACATGGACAGCCGATTTATTACACTTGAAACGACGATAGCCAAGATCACCGATCTATTGAATAATAACAGTAGCAGCAACAACTTTTGAGAGAACATCTTTTCAGAGAGCAATACATCCATCCACCACAAATCTGCACTTCATGCCAATGTTTTCGACGAGTTAAAATCCACATCGAAGCACATTGATCTTCCGTGTTTTGATGGAACCGATCCTATTGGATGGATTGCGCGTGCTGAGCAATTGTTTCTTGTACACCACACGAAGGAAAACTTCAAAGTTGCCTCCGCATTCATCTGCATGGAAGGAGCAGCACTCCATTGGCTTCGATGGCTCCAGCAACAATCTCCAATGATTACCTGGGATCAATTGAAGGAAGAACTCGTTGACCAATTCGACGGGGACTTAGCAGCAAGTCCCAGCGAACACTTGGCTGCCTTACACCAAACAAGATCTCTGGATGATTACGCCAATGAATTTCGAGCGAGAGCAGCCCAAGTCCCAGGCCTGGATTCACAACTTCAGCTAGGGTTTTTCTTAAATGGACTCAAGGAAGAAATAAGGGTTCGATTGCGCCCATATGATGTGCTCGATCTACGAACGGCCATGAAAGTTGCTCGGTCTGTTGAACGAGAATTGGATTTCTTAAATTCCAAATATGGAAGATTTACTACTGGGTATGGTTTAGGCTTCCAACCGAGGCCCATTAATCCTTCTCGTTTTGAACCACCAAAACTAAACAACACCTTAACAACCGGCCAAAATAAGAATTCTGCAGCCCAGTACAAGCCCAATGATCACTTCAAACTACTTCCAGGCGGCACAGGTTCCTCCTCTTCACAACTACCGCGACACAACACAACACAGAAAAGTAGAGTGGCACGCCAATACTCCCATCAAGAATATTTGGACATGCGTGCGAAGGGGTTGTGTTTTCGCTGCAAACAACCTTACAACCCGATGCATGATTGCCCTCAAAAATCATTACGTGCTCTCATCGCAGCAGAAGACGAGATCACTGATATCATCTCCGACTTCAGACTAGAAGAATCCCAACAACATCAAGCAGAAACCAGTGAAGCTCAGCTCCATTTTCTAGATCTACCTTTGACGGCGATAGGTGGAATAGATGGACCACGGACAATGAAATTTTCAGGTCATGTGTACGGTGAACCAGTGACTATTATGGTAGATAGTGGGGCAAGCCACAACTTCATCTGAACCAAACTTGCTCAGAAAATTCCCCAACCAGTAGAGCAGACAGTCCGCTTTGGGGTTCGCTTAGGAGATGGCAGTCGAGCAACTTCAATAGGGAAGTATAGCAATTTACCAATTCAACTTCAATCAATCACGATGTCATTAGATTGCTATATATTTCCTCTTGGAGGTATTGACATCATTCTCGGCGTGGCATGGCTCCAAACATTAGGCGATATCAAAGCGAACTGGACAAAAATGAGTATTGAATTATTGCGGGATAATGAAGAGATTTGTCTGTTAGGGGACCCATCATTGTCACGTGCCCCTATCTCTTTGAGCTCATTGCAACAGATGGATGATGACATCGATTACTGCCTCTTGCTCTTGCAGATTACATCATCAATAGAAACGCGTTTCTCAACAGAGACTTCGGCCCTCAATTCCTCAAGCGCTCAGGTCCAGGAATTGGAACTAATATTGGAGCAATACGGTACAATTTTTGAAGAACCCCAAGGACTTCCCCCTGAAAGGAGACATGATCATCGTATCACTCTAAAATCGGGAACCGCACCAGTAAATGTGAAGCCCTACCGATATAGCCATCATTAAAAGGATGAAATTGAACGCCTGGTGAATGAAATGCTATTCGCTGGGATAATCCAACCAAGCTCCAGCCCATTTTCCAGCCCAGTTCTACTTGTCAAAAAGAAAGACGGAAGTTGGCGATTTTGTGTCGACTATCGCGAACTAAACAAGGCTACTGTTCCTGATAAATACCCAATTCCCATGATTAATGATATGCTTGATGAACTCCATGGAGCCGTTTTTTTCTCCAAGTTGGACCTCGAAGAAGGGTATCACCAAATTCGGGTCCATCTCTCAGACATAGCCAAGACAGCATTTCAAACACATTCCGACCACTATGAATTCTTGGTCATGCCATTTGGATTGACAAATGCCCCAGCCACGTTTCAAGGCCTCATGAATGATGTCTTCCGTCCGTATTTGAGGAAATTTGTGCTTGTTTTCTTTGACAATATCCTTGTTTACAGTAAAACATGGGAGGCGCATATACAACACCTTCAGATTGTCTTCAGTGTTTTACTCTATAATCAACTCAAGGCTAATAAAAAGAAGTGCCATTTTGGGAGGACATCAGTGGAGTATTTGGGACATGTTGTCTCAAGATCTGACGTGTCCATGGATCCAAGTAAAATATCCAGTGTTATTAGGTGGCCACAACCTAAGTCAGTTAAAGGCGTACGAGGATTTCTAGGCCTCACGGGATATTATAGGGGGTTTATTAAAAATTACGGCCAAATCGCAAGACCTCTCACAGAATTACTTAAAAAAGAGGTCGGGGACTTCACATGGACAGAGCCAGCACAGGACGCTTTCGAAAGATTGAAAATCGCCATCACCTCTTCTCAGTGCTGGTAATGCTTGACTTCAGTAAAAGTTTTGTGATCAAATATGATGCTTCAGGCGAAGGCATGGGCGCAATCTTGATGCAAGAGCAGCGGCCGATAGCATATTATAGTAAAGCACTCTCGGGAAGAGTGTTGGCCAAATCGGCATACGAAAAAGAGTTAATGGCATTGGTTTTGGCAATTCAGCATTGGCGGCCTTATTTACTCGGTAGAAGATTTGAAATTCGCATCGACCATCGGAGCCTAAAGTACATTTTGCAACAACGGATCACAACTCTTTCTCGGCAAAATTGGTTGGCAAAACTCATGGGTTACGATTTTGAGATCACCTACAAACCGGGTGTAACAAATCAAGTAGCGGATGGTTTATCCAGACAATTTGAGGACAAGGATTTGGCAGCCATTTCTGTTCCCACATGGATTGACTGGGACAAACTTGATTCAGCCGTCCTCGAGGATGTGGAGTTACGGGCAATCATCGAGTAACTTCGACTGAATCCAAATAGCCAGCCACCATATCAGCTCGTTCATGGAAGATTATTTTACAAAGGTCGAATTGTCATTCCTGCTACTTCACCATGGGTGCAACAACTCTTGGACGAGTTTCATTCCACCCCAACAGGAGGCTACTCAGGTGCGTACCGTACATATCGGCGATTGGCAGCTAGCATTTATTGGCGAGGCATGATGAAATAGGTACAAAAATATGTTGCTGACTACCTAATTTGCCAAAGGAATAAGTATAAAATGTTATCACCAGCTGGATTGCTCAACCTGCTCCCTATTCCTAATAACATCTGGGAAGATATATCGATGGACTTCATCACAGGTTTACCGCGATCTAATGGGTTTGATTGCATCTGGGTAGTAGTCAGTCGACTTAGCAAATATGCACATTTCATTGGTCTTCGACATCCTTTCACTGCACGAACCTTAGCCTAATTGTTTGCTAAAAAAATTGTGCGTCTACACGGAGTCCCACGATCCATCGTCAGTGATCGAGACCCAATTTTCTTGAGCAATTTCTGGACTGAATTTTCACTAAAATGGGAACCAAACTTCGCATGAGCACAGCCTACCACCCGCAAACTGACGGACAGTCGGAAGTAACAAATCGTTGCATGGAGCAATACCTGAGATGTTTCACTTCAGAACAACCCAAGCAATGGGGTCGTTGGTTGCATTGGGCTGAATATTGGTTTAATAGCAGCTTTCATTCGGCGGCAGGCCGAACTCCATTTGAATATGTGTATGGCAGGCCACCACCCACTTTGCATCAGTTTATGCTGGGGGAATTCAAGGTTGCAGCCGTTGCGGAGGAGCATAATGATAGGGCAGAATTGATCAAGCAGCTGTACTTTAACCTCACTAAAGCGCAACAACGGATGATTAACACTGCCAATCGCAAGAGACGACCCTTAGAATTTGATGAGGGAGATCAAGTTCTTTTGAAACTTCGGCCCCATCGCCAGACCTCTATGGCAAATCGAGTCAATCAGATGCTGGCTGCAAGGTATTATGGCCCATATCGCATTCTTCAAAAGTTGAGCCCCGTGGTTTACAAGTTAGAATTACCTGATGGAGCACGTATACACCCAGTTTTCCACATCTCCCAACTTAAGAAACTTAACGGGCAGCATGACGTCACCAAGGATTTACCTGAAGCCTTGGCAGTAGAAGAAACAAGTTACACCCCACAAGACATATTGGATGCTCGAAAGCAGCTCGGCAGGGAGCAGGTCTCAGTTCAGTGGGAAGGTCGGCCGGCGGAGGAAGCAACTTGGGTTGATCTTTCGGATTTTATGGGGCAGTTTCCAAACTGCAGCCCTGTGGACAAGGCCAATTCTTTAGGGGGTGGCAATGATAGAAAAGGAGCATGTCATGGCCAAAAATCATGGATTGTTTATAGTCGCAGGCCAAATCCAAGGAACCAATCAGATTTAAAATGAAGGGGCTGATTTTATGGATCTAAATAGCACTAATCATGGAAAAGAATCTTACCTAATATATAGTAGTATAGCTAATTATAAATAAAGACTCCTTAGATGAGGAAGGCATCAGAAATCATAATTCCTATGTTAGTACCTTGGGACAGGGAGTTTATTCTTGTTGGTCTTTTCCCTAGTTTTCTTTCTTCCTGTTGATCATATTGCAAAGTATCCATTTAGTTAATAATAAAACTCTTCCCTTTGTTACTTGGTTCTTTTCTCTAACAGGTACCTTCTCGTAACTCAAGTTACTTACTCGTCCTTCTTCTCCTATGTACCGTAGGTCGTTATCCGAGTCCTCGCTGTCCAAGTCCATATGTCCCTCCCTTTCTTCCCATAGTCGTCCTACTTGAATCATCATATCATAGAAGTTCACAAAATGTACTCCTTTATTTAGCCTGTTCCTCATCCTTAGTTCGCCGTAAATCATGTTCGCCTCAACTTTCCATGTCGATGAAAGAATATCAATGAGCATCTTAATTCCTTCCTGATGTGACAAGATGTCCTCCCATTGTAATGCCCCACTTTGATTTTAAAGAAATTCCGAAGTTTCCAAAACCAGTAAAATATTTTTTGAACTCAATTTAGAAAACATGGGCATTATTCAAAACATTTACATAGTCCAAGTCTTATCTGGACCACGAGGATTCATTACCCGGTTTTCATATAGTTTTCATTAACCCGAAACCCAACATACTACATGATATTCAGTTCACACATAACAACATGAATGATAAAAAATACATGATATTCCATTTAACAGATACTAATGAATATCCAAACCAACATAAGTTCACCAAAATATCCCAAATTCAACAATCCAATACACACGTTTGAATAACAGTTCAACATGACTCATAAGTCTTCAAACATAAATTCAGAAAAATGCGGAAGAAAATGCAATAAATGAACGACCACCCACTCGTCTTTGCCTCGCAATCCGTCACCTGCTTAACCTGCATCCGTGAAAAGGCAGGTGTGAGTGAGCACAAATGGAACCCGTAGTGCTCATCACTATGCACATATATAATATAAAATGTTGAGATAGTATGGTCGCAACATGAACATAAATCAATCAATATCATGTCTCATTTATCAATAACACACCAATAATCTCACTCATGTCCACATCTTTCATTAGCATCAGAAAGGGGCTGCATAAACCCTAACGGCGGGAGAGCGTGCCACGCAACTGACATGGCCTTTTATTAGGACTTAAGGAGACTTGCCTCGCAAGGGCAACCGTATTACATCGACGGGGATAACCGTACCGACGACCGTAACAGCTGACATCGATAGGCTACATGGTTTACATGCATACATTGATCATACCGACTCCACAAACATATCACATATTGCATAGCATTTTAGAATAACAAACCCACCTGGAAATCGCGGTAGAATATTGCACACAAAAGCAAGTACGTAGGTCGAGGGCTCAACTCCTCAAACACCTACATTTAAGTGAGATAATACATCAATAATCTATCTAACTACTCGAATTTAACATAAAACCCATACTTAATAAAAATTAAGATTTGAGGGTTTTTAATTGAATTTTCCGTGGACTTGGAACTCTCTCATTTTTGAAAAATAGGACTCG